GCCTCTGTCGATGGCTTGCCCCGCGCTGCCCATATGCGTCCTTTCCATCACCGAGGTAGAGTGCTCGCACACCATATTACTAGGAATGCATCCGCGCCATGCTTGACAAGTGAGTCATGAGTCATTTTTTTTTTTTTTTAATTTAAGTGAGTCATTAGTCGTGTGTGTGATGCAAGTTGGGGGGGGGGGGGGGGGTCGACGGACCGGAATGCAGAAGAAACAGAGGGTAAGAGAAAGAGAGAGGGGGGGGGTTACTTGGCGTCGTCGTGGTGTGGGTGTGTATGCGCCCCGCACAGGGGGATCGACGGACCGGAATATTAAGAAGGAACGGGGAGAGGAACGTGAGCCCAACATGCCGTTCGCTATACTAGCGTTTCTACCATGGGTTTAGTAGTGTTGTTTCGCTGTCGGCCGCGACACGTGTGTAGAGTGCTGCAGCAGCAGCCGCTGCTGCTGCTCAATCGATGAGCGGGGGTACCGAGCGGCTTGACTGCCGGTAGGTGTGTGTGCATGTTTGCACACCCCTGTCATGAGAGCGGCGGCAACGATAAGTTTTCTTGACACGCTCACGCCAAGCACACGCTACGGGGTCTGGCTGGGGGTAGGACGTCCCGGGGAGGCGGCCTGTCAAAGTCACTCTCTCCATCACGGCGAGCATTAACACACGCCAGCAGAGCGCCCGCCCGCCGTGAGTCGGCAGACCTCGCAACCCCTTGTTCCCAACTCCGACACACGCCTGACCAAACGACCGACGCCACGACTCCCGATGGCCCACAACAAAGCAGCCGCAGGAGCAGCAGCAGCAGTGCCCAAACATGACCAACGAACGATCGAACCGCTGTTGTACCAACCCTTCGTGCGAGATAGGGCGGAGGGGAATAACCAAAAGACTATGCAAATCTGGCGAGGAGACTGCTGTAACCTGATACCTTGCAGTGTTCGAGGATGTCCTCCTTCGGGACGAAGCCCATGTCGTCCGCGGCCCGCGCGAACGTAGTGTCCTTCCCGTGAGTGCGTCCCATCCCCCTGGCAGCAGCGTCAGCGGAGGAGGCGTCAACATGAGTGGCGTCGGTACCACGAATATTAATATTCCGACCTGACACACCGCTTTTATCACTCAAAGAAGGGACGTGCGCTCGGCAGGCACAGCGTCGTCAGCGCCGCCCAAGTCGCAAACACGCCAGATCGACGAAACGCGCCACACAGCCGCGGTGGCAGCATGGAAACGTCGAGATGCACACCCTCGGCAAGCAATTGTGCCTGTCTGTCTGATCCGTGCTTCGCGGCAAGCCGGCAACAACTATCTAAAAATAGTAACAACAAACACAGTGGCGTCAGCACAATCGGCAAACCAGCCCCGCGATGGCCTGGATCTCACACGAGCAAAACATTTGCCCGCGTCAAACACAATTTTAGGCCCGCCCAAAACAGCGACTGGGGGAGTGGGTCTCCAACTTCACGACACATGTTCCCACTACAACACAAAGTACAATAATTCGTTCTTGTTATGGACGAGGGTCATGCATCACACTAGAAAATACTTTTCCAAACATGTGGTCCTACTGTATCTGTTTGTCGAGTTCTCACCCGCCCACAGCCACGTTGAATCCCTCGAGCTCTCCGTTGGAGTCGACGATGGCCACGAGCCCGATGTCGTTCGTGTACATGTCGATCGAGTTGTCTCCCGGCACGGTGACCCCGATCTTAAACTTGCCTGCGTTGTGAAAGGCGATGAGCCGGAACGAGATGAAGGACGACACAAGAAAAAAGCCCAAGACTTCAACCCATCCCCTTGGATTGCCTGTGGTTACATGTCTCTGCCGGGTACATGAGTCTTTCTGCGATTGTACCGAGTTCAGGCTGAGATGCCGCATCAGCATCATCATCAGCAGCCGCCGTATTAGTATCATCACCAGCAGCAGCAGCCACCGCATCAGCACCACTAGCAGCAGCGGCAGCGGCGGGAGTCGGGGCATGCGTCGATGCGGATAGACTCGACATCGCCCCCCCCCTCGCCCTCTATCGAGATTAGAGCACCCAGCACCTGCCGACAACCACAAATACGCGCTAACCCCCCCCCCCCGCCGCCCCCGGTGTTTGTCATCGGGGTTGGATTTTCGTCGCTTGGCAACGACGTTGTAAAACAAGCCCCCCCCTCGGTGTTTGCCATCGGGATTGGGTTTTCGTCGCTTGGCAACGACGTTGTAAAAGAAGCCAATTCACTTCGTGAACTCCGCAACCAGGTTACCGGTTTTTTTTTTTTTTTACCTCTGTTTTTTTTTTGGCGGTAACCATAATGGTGGTCGAGTAGATCATGTTGTGCGGGGTGGAGAAACCTCATTCCGCGCAACGGGGGATGATCGCACCACGTTGTGTTAAAATGGTCAAGCATCCTCGAGGCAGTTACACAGTGCTTATAACTGTCTCTGGAAGTGAAAGCACCAGAAAATAAACTAAGTCATACGCAGCTGTCATCCGTACGCAAGGAAGTAAGCACAAGATGCCGAACACCCTTAGCAGGATGCAGCTCACCCTTCATGCGACTCGCCGAATACCTCACGGCGCTTCGCGCTTGGTGATGTGAGAGCCTGGTCCGGTGAGAACCCGGCGTGCTCCGTCCCGGCTTTGTAGGGATGCGAGGTGAATGAGATATACGGGAAGTTGAAAGAAGGGATAGGGATGAAGAAGTACTTGGACGGCCCCATGGACTATGCGAAAAAGCTGAAATTGCAATTTCGAGTAGGCGATCTGGACTTGCCAGAACGGAGGAAGAGGTATACCAGCCGTAGGAGAGAGGAAGAGGAGGATAGACACACATGTCCATGTGGCAAATCGGAGGAGAGTAGACCCCACATAGTTGGGGAGTGTGAGTTGTACAGGAAGGAAAGAGAGGATCTCGAGGAGGAAATGAGACAGAGAGGGTGTGACATGGACAAGTTTGGTAAATTAGACAACAGCGAAAAAACGATCGCGATAATTGGGGATAGATGGTGGGCACAAGAGGCCCTAGAGGACGGGGATAAGATGTGCAAGAAATTTTTATGGAGTTTGTGGCAGAAACGTAAAGAGCTCCCAAATGTTGGTGGTGTCTCTAGTAGGTGTAGGAACGGTGCTCCGTCTCGAAAGGGACGCGTGGTCAATGGTCAAATGACTACGGCAAGCAACAAATGAGTACGCCCC